GGCAGCCTCGAGCCATTGGTAGCAGGCTTGAAGCAGCAAGTCCAGAAAGTGCACCAGAAGGTGCAGGGCGAGCTCTGGCTCCATGTTGCCACCTGCGTCGGCGTCCCCGAAGGGAAGCACCGACACAGACGGGCACAGAGACCAACGCTTTGCTGTCCCTCGGCGAGGTTGGCAAGGAAGCAGGAAAAGCTGAGAACCGGCTGTCCAGGGGGGGTCCCTTTAAGCAAGAGCCTCAGATAGCCTCAGACAGCAGCCACACAAAGCAACTACTGACCTGATGCCCTGCCAGAACCGGTTTCAGCCGCCCTTAAATGCCCCCCTGCATCCAATCAGTGTGGACGCGCTAGTTCGAATTAGCAAAAGCTAATTCGAACTAGTTTTTAGTTCTAGACGCGTTAGTTCGAATTAGCTTAGTTCGAATTAACTAATTCGAACTAAGTTAGTTTGAATTAGCGCTGTAGTGTAGACGTACCCTGAGTGGGCAGCTGAACCATTCCATAGGCTATACCCTAAGTACTTAGCATTCATCCAAGAGCAGGTTTAGCTGGATTGCCAATAAATCTTGCTCTTCATAAAATAGGGTCTGCTGCTAAAAGCCAAATGATTAATACACAGTCAGAACTAAAAACTATCACTTCCTTATGCTGCTGTACATTTTGTATTCAGCCATGATCTTTAGTTTCTGGAACATTACAGAGGCACTAGGGAAACCATACGATAGGGCCATGAATTGAAATGACCTAAAGGGAATTAAAAAGGCAGTTTTCTCTCATCCTTTTGTGATATCAACTTTGGTTTTCTTACCATATCTAGTAGTTCATTCCCATATGGACACTTTGTTCACTTTCTGGTAGTTGGCACAAAATCTTCTAGTCTCTTCCTCACTTACTCAGAGCTACTGAATTCTACCACAAAGCGTTACTCTGCACTAGACCTTTTTAGACTGTAAAAGAGAGATTCTTCTAAAACTTTGTTAGTGTAGACTACTTATTATGTTACATGCCTATGACACTGTATTTAAAGATTTTTCAAAAGAGCTGTATATGAAAATATTGTCTACCCACTGCTAGAAAAAAAATCAAATTTGAATTTTTTTTATTTCAGGTGTTGTATTTATTTTTACATTTCTGAGTTTTCATGTTCTAATTTCTCCATGTCAATAAGTTGTAATTTTTCCACTACTTGTTTCTTTCTTTTGTGTGTGACTGAATCTGCCTGTGTCTTGTAGAGACAGACTATGGGTGTGTGAACAAATCTCCAGGAACCTGGAAGATTTCTGATTTAGACATAATAGTGGATCCTATTCTGTCACCTCCCACTTCCTCTCTTCAGTCTGCTGTTCAAAGTGTCATCTGCCTGGCACCTACTCTGTCTGACACGCTATACTGTGAGTCTGTGGATGATAGCTGACTAGTTAAGAATGCCAGCTTTTAATATGGTCATCTGAGCTTATGCATACAGATGCATATTAAACAGCAATTTAAAAAATGGTGCTGTGTCCTGGCATACAGTATATTTTCTATTATTATGTAACCATTCTAGGAGGACAATCCTGGGGATTAAAAGGAAGTAAATGGATTTGGGCCAAATTCATTCCTTGAGTATTGCCAGTTGTGTTATACCAGGGATGAGTTTGCCCCATTGAGGTTTTAGGCTGAAAAAGATACTGGAAGTATAGTTACAAAAACTTATTAGAAACTTGATATTGGTCATCAACCTATAAAATAGGGTGTATTCACAATGTTTACGGGATGTGGCATGTGTAGGTTTACTTTGGAGATAGGATTCTGTATGAGGCTCTGAGGGTTTATGGTCTTTGGCACTGCAATTTGAGAGATTTGTTTTCTGGTCTTGGTGTGAAATCTCAGTCCACTGAAGTCAATGGCAAAACTCCCATTGACTTCACTCAGACCAGGATTTTACCCTTGGTTTTGCAATTCATTTGCTACATGACTACGGGTAAATAAAATGGGATAAGCATGATTTTTGTTTAACAAGTGGTCTGAACTCTATGAATGCAAAGTGTTATTAAGGGTTCAAATATAATAGTAATAGTGAAATTGGGTATCTTCAGATTGTCAGTTTACAGCAGGGGTTGGCAACCTACTGCATGCGGTTAAGTGGCATGTGAGCCAATTTTCACTGGCATGCGAGCCTCCCGGCTAGATCTATGCTGACCGTATGTCCTGGAAAGCCCCACCAGACATTTCACTATTTGATGGGAAGAAGTGACCAAGAGCAGCAGTGTGGCTGCCCACTGTGGGGGGCGGGAGGAATACTGAGCTCCGCTCCTCCCCACTCGCTGGGGGAATGACAGTGCAGTGATGTTAGTTGGGATTGGTCCTGCCTAGAGCAGGGGGCTGGACTTGATGACCTTCTGAGGTCTCTTCCAGTTCTATGGTTCTATGATTCTATGTCCAGAGGCTTTCCCTGCTGCTCCATTGGCCCACCAGTGGGAGTGGCGGGATAGTGCTTGGGAGCAACAGGGATGCGAAGCCAGGTAAACGCCCCTCCTCATGCCAAGACCACTGCACCCAAATCCTCCCTCCCCGTTTCCCTGTCAAAACCCCTAGTTTGTTCCTATACTCTCCCTTGCTCCTGCACCTTCCCTCCTGGCTAAACACCCTACTCCCAGCCTGCTTCTGCACCCTACCTCCCACCCACACCTTGCATCCTCACCCCCTCCTGCACTCCATCCCCCATCCCTGCCCTACTTGCTGGTAGCTCTGTGCTGCACACTGAACCCCTCATTTTTGTCCCCACTCTAGAACCTAAGGTTCCCCAACCGTGCCATAAATAAAGAAAACATTGAAAACTTTTCTATTGGACATAAATGTATATGGGTAAGCCTATGGAAGCCTAATCCGAACTAGCTACTCCGTGCCGCATGTAGCCTCGCGGCACGGGGTTCGAACTAGCCGGCATTTAAAAATGGCGCCGGCCGGCTTCATGCAAATGAAGCCCGGGAAATTCAAATCCCGGGCTTCATTTGCACCTGCGGATGACTACATTACCCCCACTAGTTCAAACTAGTGGGGTAGTGTAGACATACCCTATTTTACTTTATTTAAAATGAAGTTTGGTAAATTAACATGAGAACATTAAAATGCTTAGTCAGTTTAGTGATAGAGGAAGTGGGTCTGGCCCACGAAAGCTCATCATCTAATAAACCATCTTGTTAGTCTTTAAAGTGCTACATTGTCCTGCATTTTGCTTTAGTCAGTTTAGTAATTTAAGTCAAACTATTCTCCCTAGCTGCACCACTAGCAAACTGGCTTGGGCGTAATTATGTAGTTAACGGTGAGTTTCCATTAGCAACTGGTGGTCCGCGGAAAGATTTGCATTGAGCCAGGTGGTCCATGGGATACGCAGTGAAGAGAGTCTCTTCCTCCCTCGTCATGGCCCAGAAAAGGAGAGTTAAATCTTGGCATGCCACTTCAGAAAGGTTGCCGACCCCTGGTTTACAATATAATTATTATTGTTAGAATATACTAGTAAAATTACCAAATAATTAGATTAAATTTGTGTGTGTGAGAGAGAAGCTTGGTAATAGTTAGTGGGCTGAGGGATATTGAAGGGAACATGGATTTTGGAGGGTGTATGAGCAAAAGATAAAGGCGATAGAAGTGTTGTGAATGCTGAAAGAGGACTAGCTAAGGGAAGCTAGGTTTGTAGGAGTGGCTGGGGTGGGGGGAGGGGGGGGATGGTAGCCTGCAAGGAAGGGAAGGATTTGAAGATAACTGGGGTTCACAAAGTTTGTCGGGGGCAGCTGATGGACTTTTTTAGAAGTATCCAGGGGAATAACTCGATAGTTTGGAGAAGATGCAGGGAATAGCTAGGTTGGTGGAGGGTTCTTGGGAAAAGATGGAGTTATATGGAAGTGGCTTGGTGATTCTTGTGGGCAACTGGGTGGGGAGACTTAGGGCTGGATAAGAGCAGAAGGCATCAGGGACCTGTCAGGGGAGCAGGTCAGCTTGGTGAGTAGTGGTGTCGGAGTTAGGAGACTGGCTGGTGCTGGGTAGGAAAGCCTAGGGCCGGTATTGCATTGCCCTTGTCTCTGTCCTTACCTTTGCCTCTGCTTGCTACTGCTGTCAGTATCAGGTCTTCTTTGTTCCTAACAGCTGATCATTCTGTGTTCACATCCAAAAGGGGGAGCAGCAAACAACAGTTACTTGTCTACCTACTCTGCTCAGCACCTCTCCAGAGCAGCTGATGGACTGTGCCCAGAACTGTAATTGTAGGCTATTACTGCAGTTTAGCTGAATATGTGACAATCCATTTAGGCAACAATGTGAGAGACCGTCTCCATGCATGTATGCCACGTCAAGTGCGTGATACTTGGCAGGCATATTTGACAGAAAGATGGGGGATAGAAAGATGAGATTAGTTGCATTCTGACACTAAAGGGAACCAAGAACTTGTTTATATAGTGCCATAGGCAACATCAGAGAATTGTAAATTTTAGTCCTCACTAGTGTAGCTTTCACTAACTGGCCCAAGTGTACCCTGCAGACACTCAGTGAAAATTGCCTAATGCACATTGAAATAGAGCTGGAACTAAGGGACTTTTTACTGCACACAAATAGGGTCCACATATGTTAGTATTGAGCACACCATTGTGGACTAAAATTTACACCTTTCTGGTGCAAATTAAAGCAACCTGTAGTCCAGCTCTGAAAGAGACACCAGGGAGGTTAGGAATGGGCCCAGGCAAAATAGGGCTGGGGGGCTGGATCCAGCCCACCAACTCACCAGATCCAACCCACGGACACAGCAGGGAGCCTCAGGCAACTTCTTGCTTGCCCTGTCCCCTCCTGGACACCACTCAGAAAAGCAGCTGCCACGCTGTTTGTGTTTCACCACTGGGGCAGGGGCAGAAGATTCATATGATGTCCCTGCCCCAGCACAATCCCACTGGCCGGTTTCTGGCCAATGGCAGCTGCCTGTTTGAAGAACAGGCAGTGTGCAAAGCACCACTCCCCTGCCCCCTCTGACTCTTATTCACAGATGCACATGGCCCCTGCAGCCTGTGCAGGGATGGGGCAGGCAGGGCGACTGCCTGGGAGTTACCTAGGTAAGTCTCCTGGTCAGAGCCTGCCTCTGGCATCCCTTCCCCCAACCCTCTTTCCCCCCTATTCCTACTCCCCTTCCCCACATAACCCAAAACCTCTGCCCCCCTCCTGCACACATATCCCCTCCCAGATCCTGAACCCCAATCCCCTGCCTTAGGTCATAACCCATACCTCTGAACCCCCTTTCTGCAACCCAGTCTCCTGCCCCAGCTCACAGTCCCCTCCTGCGTTAGGCCACAACCCAAACCTCTGCACCCCAATACATTGTCCCTGGTCACAACCCAAGACCCTGTACTCCCTCCTGCAGTTCAGTCCCATACCCCAGGTCATAACTGTCTCCTTCACCCAAACTCCCTCCTAGACCCCTCATGCCCTTCTGCACCCTGGTCACTTACCCCTAGTAGGGATGTAGACAAGAATTGACTACTTAACTACTCGATAAGTATAAGCTTATCAGGTAGTCAAATAGAGTACTTGACTGATCACTTCTCTCCCCCCCTCCCCCTTGCTGCTCTGTATGAGAGGGGGCAGGAGATGGAAACAGGAGCCAGTGCTGGAGGGAGCTGTCTCCATGGTGCTGTTCCCCCCCACCCCCCATTAGAGACAGCAGCTCTGTACTTGTCAGGCCGAGGTTCACTGCAGACAGAGGCCCCTCCGGCAAGCAGCCCCTGTTCACAGTCTGTCTGGCTTAAGCTAGCTCCTGATGCGGCTCTGCAGAGGGCCCCTTTATTGACTAATCGTGTATTCGATACAAATTGTATTGACTACACGATTAGCCAGATAACTGCTATTTAACATCCTTAACCCCAAATTCCCTTCTGCACCTCCATCCCAGACCCCATGACTTCTCCATTAATATCATGGAAGAGTGCGGCCCTTGACCACTTTCCAAAATCTTGGCGTGCCCCCCAACAAAAAATATTGCCCACTCCTGGATTAGAGAGTCTGAGGTCGAATGTGTTTGGTTCCCATTCCTCACCTTAGAATTCTAAGGTTAAGTGCACTTCTCCCTGGAGTTCTAAATATCGAAATGTTATACTCAAAGCACACTTTTTGTGCAACTGCCTAACTCTTTGAGCATTCTTTTTAAACCTATATGCATGTGTATTTGTAAGAGTGAAATATCTTTTAGGTGTCTTGCTGTTTCTTATCCCTTAAATATGTTTATTGCTTCCTTCTTTTTGTTCTTAACTATTAAATGTATGGCTAAATCGTCATTACTTTGTTTAGTATATTAGGATATAGAAATTTCTGGAATTGATCTATGAACTGGAAGCATAACATACATGATAGAATTAAATAACATGTTAGGTATATCGTGCCTTAAATATTAATTCAATGTACTGTTCATATTTAGAAAGCTTGCCCTTATTTAGAGGCACATATATTTTACTTCTGTCTCTTTTGGTCTTATTCTTATTAACTAGATGATGGTAATAAAAATAAGGTGCACGGTTCATGGAGAATGTCAGATCTTGATGTCGGTCCTGACTACAGCACTTCCTGGCATGCTGCAAACTCTGAAAAGCAGTTTCTGGACTGTATGTTATACAAAGTGCTTTAGGCAAAAATCCACAATGATCTTAATTTTATTAATTAACAATCAGAAAGCATTCTTATCCCAAAGTAATTATTTCTGAAAATTCAGCCTCAATTGACTTGAAATTAAACTTTTTGTGTGTGGAACATTTAGGAAAGAATTTAAAAAGTAATTCAAAGATAATTACAAGGGCAGTTCACATGCTGAGAATGTAACTTTCAAATGAGTAAAGGATAGAAAATAGATCACATAATCATGTGGACTAAGGGAAAGAAAGATTCATAAGCTGACAGACTCTGAATGTGAACTGGCCTGGTGGAAATACGGGTTGCTGAATGATCTCCAGATTCTAACTTCTTTAGAAATTAGATGTTAAATAAAAGTTCCTCAGGTTAATAAGCCCTAAGATGAGTTACATTAACTACATTGTATCCGTGATACCCTTCTATGGCCTATTTGTGGGATAACAGTCAAAGTTATTTTTGGAAAAAACTGTACGAAATAGTGTATGATGACATATCTGGAAATAGAAAAAAGGATCAATGAGAGGCCAAATTAAATAGATTATTTTTCTGTAAAGATATGATGAAATGGAAGGCTTTGTCATTGGATATCACTGACCTTCATTTAGTCTCATTGAGATTTCAGGAATACCAATAAATCCTCCTTTCTCCACAATAGACTTGGCATTTCAGTTACTATTCTCTGGTAAAGTAAAACTGTACGTGCCTCTCTTGCAGGCCATCAGTACTACTATTAAATTGTTTTGCTGTGATAATTACAGAATAGTGGGGGGTGGGCGGGATGAAAACGACTATTCACCTCATAGAGCCAGAGTGAATCTAGCAACTGAAATACGCTCTTTTGAACAGGACAACAAAACACTAATTTAAAACTTTTACAGTGTAACAACATAGGTTTAATGTTCAGAAAGTTTTAAAACTTGTATCCTAGTTGAGAAAATAGAAAGTGAAATGTTTCCTCCAATTACTATAATTGTACACTAAAACATAAAGGACTCAGTCAAGGGCTGGCTGCTTCAGTTTGCATGCAACTCTGCATAATAATTTTGCATGGAATGAATAAATATGCCAATGGCTTGAAATTTTCAATTAATTAAAGATTTAATTTTTCAGAAATTAATGTTAAATGGGGAGCCATTTATAATCACTAAGGTTAGTGGGAAGAAAAGAAAGACATCAATGTCTACTTTGGGAGATTTTAATTTGCTGGAACTAATGTGTTGCACCACACAGCTATAACAGGTCTTTACTTATAGCTTACTACATATCAATGATTCTGGGCCAAATTCTGTTCTGCAGAATGCAGTTTTACAGGTGCAGATTTGGAAAAACACTACTGACATCAATTCTCGGGATATAAAATAATATAATTGATACAAGGCTAAATTCAGCAATGTAGCTCGGTAGTTCACAAAAAAAAAAATCAAATATTAAATTCTAATGGCATATTTCTGTGTATAGATAAACTTTTTAAAAAAGTTTAATTTTAGAATATGGTACCGGAAATTGCAGTTAGTACCAAAATGTTCATTGTGTCATTAGAACTGATTTTAATATAATTAATTTGAATGTAAAAGGGTAACAAATAGCCTGTTGTTCCTGGTGGTTAAGCTTTTGTTATGTTCTTCTGGCTCAGACTCTGACATTAATGAGAACTTGTTTGATTTTTGGTATCATATTAATCCCGTTGTGGTTAAGATAATTTGAATAATGCATTCCACTTCAAATATTTTGCTTGTTTACTGTGGTGGGCATTGGTATACATAAATATCACATTTTCCCTCTATTTCAAGCTAATGATGGAAACTGGCCAACACTTAAACAGAGTTCAGCACCCGTGGCAAAACCACCTCAGATCTCCAATGCAGACTGGAAGGAATCAAGCATGGATACTGCTTTAAAACAAGGAACTGTATCCAGTCAGCCTTTGCCATCTTCAGTATTAGGAAGTACTGATAAGCTGGTAGGTTTTTTATTTGGTGCTCTTTAGCTTGGGGCATATAAAAACCATGACCTCATAATGTTCGTCAAATTTTTATAGTATTTTTATGAATCTTTGCTAAAATTTCTGACTATGTCTTTGTCCTCTCTGGCAGGGTTTGCCTCTGGTCCCTGCTCATCTTACTTCTTCTCTTGAGTTTATCAAAAATGTCACTAATAAAATCCTCTTCATTTCCCTTCTTCAAATTCCTTCACTGTCTTCCTATCTCTTATCACATCAAGTTTCAACTAGAGATGTGAATTGTTAACTGGTTAACTAGTAAGCATCACCTTTACTTGGTGATGGTTACTGGCAGGGTTCCCTGTACGGTGCGCGCCTGTGTGGGTGCACACCAATAATTTATTTTCTGCCCACCCCCTCAGCAGAGCCATGCAGTTGCAGCCCCTGCTGCTCCCAGAGGTGGGGCCACATAGTGGGTGACTACCCACCCCAGAAGCAGCTGGGCAGTCACCATGCAGCCTGAGTGGCAGCTGCTGGAGCTGATGCCTGGGTTGTGGTACTAAAAGTAGCAACATGGCCTGGCTCCAGTCCTGGCAGATGGGGCCGCTGCCCAACGTGTGGCCCAGCCCCTGGGAATGGCTGGGGCCACGTCTGCATGGTGGCTGCTGGGGCCAGGACCATGGTACTAAAAATAGCACCATGGACCTCGCTCAAGTCCTGGCACACGGAGCGTGCTGCCCCATGTGCCAGGACTGGAGCCGGGCCATGGTGCAGCTGCTCCTGAGCTGGGGCCACAGTACTAAAAATAGCACTGTGGCCCTGGCTCCTGCACCAGCACACAGGGAAGATGCCCCCCATGCTGCCTTGCCCAGCAGTGTCAGGATGGCAGAAAATAAGGGAAGAGGCTGGGGGATAACTAAGTGGAAGGTGGGGGTGAAGAGAGGAAAGAGCTTGTACTGAGGGGAGAAGAAGGGGTCAGGGCAGGAGAAGAAAGAGGAAGGCATCCAGGGGGAAGGGTGGAGGAGAGACAAATGCCAGGGAGCCAAGAGGAGACAATGAGGGGAAAGGGCAGGAGGAGCAGGGGTGGGGGGAATGGGAAAATGTTAATGGGGGTGGGGGAGGGGAGGAGGCAGGATGATGCTAGGAGAGGAGAGGGGAAGGGCAATGGGGCAAGAAGAAGAAAGAGGAGAGGGGAAGAGTGGGTGCTGGAAGAAGAGGGATTGAAAGAAGAGATGGCCATGAAGAGGGCGGGGGTTGGAGTAAGTCATGTATGAGGGCGCAGAGGGGTGTGAGGAGAACTGGGGCATAAGGTGGTGAGGAGGGGGGAACTAGGGAAGAAGAGGGAAAGGGGGGCAGGTGTTGGAAGGGCAGGGGCAGAGAGGAAATGGGGAGGCACCAGGAGCGTGCAGGGGGTAAGGAAAGGTGCAGGTGCTATGGGGATTGTGGGGGTAAAGCAGAAGAGCAGACATGGGGCCGGGAGAGGAGAGGAGTGAAGTGGTACCAGAGGGCAGAGGAGAGAGGCAGGGCAGGTGGGTAGAGGGAAGTGTTAGGAGAGGGGTTGGGGAGGGGAGCTAGAGGAAGGCTGGGCACAGAGGGGAAGATGAGGTGCAGGAATCAGTGAGGTTGGGGAGGTAGGGCAAGTACCAGAAGGGCTAAGGGGAGTGAGAAGTGAAGGAGCCAGAACAGCAGAGAGGAGGTGGGGGGGGGGGGCAGCAGCTTGCACGAGGGGAGCAGATGGGACGAGGGGAGGATGGGAGACATGGCAGCAGAGGGGGAAAGTGAGAGATTATAATTTAGGTTCCACAATGGCACACATCTGAACAAGCGCACATGACCTCAATATTGGTGCACAAGAGAAAACTCACTCCGCTCATAGAGAGAAAAATCTTAGAGGGAATACTGATTACAGTTAACTGGCAGTCCAGACAAGCTGGAGCATCCACAATGCAGCACAGTAGGTCTGGCCTGGCTCAAGCAGCCCTCCACCTGCGGTGTAGCAGGTAGGGTTGCCAGGTGTCTGGTATTTTACCGGACAGTCCAGTATTTGTGCCCTCGGCCTCATAAAAAAAATCAGACAATACCCGGACATGTGCA